TACTGTAGGTCTGTTGTTGTTTTACCTATATATTGCAGATGGCCTCCTGGTCATCTGCAGTCAATGACATAGATTAGATTGCAGGATCTACAGGTGATGTTTTGGTTAACAGGTCCTGCCAGTCACGGTGCTAGCAAAAATGACTGCCTCCCTGAGAAACACATAGTACAGTATTTGCAATCACAAGAACGTGACTCAGGATTGTGGACTGGTGGTTCGAGGACAGCTTTTAATTTCCATATATTTGGTGGTTGGCAGAAAGCTCTCCTAGAAGACATGCTGTTGGCTTTTGCAAAATAAATATTAAAATATATGACTAGCCTTCAGTCAAAGTTCCTAAAGTATACCATTTGAGTAGGAGTATCTGCAGGAAGCATGCTTACAGAAGCTAGATAACTCAATAAAAGTTGCAGCCAGTCATCACCCATCCAATCAAAGCCACGCAGAATAAAAGGGCCTTCACCTGTCATCTGAATGATAAAACTGTTGGGAGCTAATTTGCTTTCCTGGAAATGGGGAACTAAGTTGCCAAAAGTTTAAAAAAAAGCCTTTTGGAGGCCTGGTTGTGGGAGTGGGCAGGATAAATAGGAGAAAGGAGCAGAACCACCCACTTTTTCTCTGTTGCCCTTTTCCCTCTGCTACCCCTTCTCTCTTCCCTTCTGTCACCCATTTTCTCTCTATTACTATAATCTGTCAGAATAATGAATGTTTCATTAGACTGAGAGCTGCTTCTCTTTCCCTGTCTCCCTACATTTTCCTCCCCATCCAGTGAGTTGCCAGATGGGGGAGAGATGGCTCTTGCCAGCGGTCATTTAGAGACACACATTTGAAATTAGGCAGAGGAATTGCAGGTGGCCAACGTGTTCTTTCTTTGATTGCTTTTCCCACCTTAACTGCTTTAAGAACTTGGAAATGTTGGAGAAGTCTTGTTATATCAGAACAGAAGTCTGATTTTTATTTGGCATTCTTTTTTTCATGATGGCCATCTGGGACACTGAAAAACTGGATATAAAGGAAACATTCCTTCCCTGTCAATTAATTAGCAAATGATTCCATGTCTAATAACTGTGCCAGGAACTGTCTCAAATCTGTGAACAACATTTTCACTGTATATTATACTTCTAACTGTCCTGTTTGGCACATCACTTGCCTCCAGACTTCTTCAGCCTACAGAGAAAGGAGCAAAATGGAAGGAGCCAAGGATAAAATTCCAACACAAATACATGCATTTGAGTAGGATTCAGTGACTATAGGAAGTCACAGAGACGTGCAATGCTGATAAATGAATTAATCTACTCAGTCCTTGACTTCTACAGAATCTAGTCCATCTTTTTGGATCCAGAGCAAAGTCAATAAGAATTCCCAAGAGAAGTCAGCTCAAAGGAACAAAAGATGACAGACTAAGGGAGTGGCTAATGAAGTAACGCAATCAGAAACCATCTGTCTCCTCATTGCCAGAGATTCCCAAACCATGAGTAATCATGAGGCAGATTTGAGGGGTTGCGTTGCCACAATTTAGCTTAGTAAAATCAGTACATTACAAAAATGAAAGCAAATAACAAAGTCAGATTTGGATCAGTGAAAAAGGCAGAATCCTGTTATCGCATCCATAGTGTGCATTCAGAGACTCCAGTGCACATGTGGAATTCTGCATGATTGCCCCATTGCATCGGTATAAGGAAAGCACCATGCACAGGAGTTTCATACATGTAAGTTCCCTGATTCAAGGCAATCTGCTCATGTGGAGATCCGTGAACCAATATCAGCATTGAGTGGCATTATTATTTGGTTTGTATGTCAATTTTGCATAGCAAAATATAGCCTTGTTAGAGCTTGCTTAGTGAGTGGGGAAGCTGGAATGTTGGGCTGAACTAGATGACGTGCTGTTCTGCTTGTCACAAATTGTGAAGAAAATGGGTGTGAGGTACCCGTTTAAGGCACAAAGGGAGCATATTCATACAAGGAGGACCTTCTCTAGTTAAGTCAGGAAATGATTCCCCTGTGTTGCAGTGAAGAGTGCTCTTGCTGAGAATTCCTGTCCACTTTCAGGATATTCCATTCTATTTCCCATTGTAAAGCATAGAGAGACACAGCAGCATGGTGTGTATGACTATGTGACAATTGCTCAGTGGTTTAGGTTGGCTGGCTGCAGAGCCAGAGGTTGGGAGTTGGATTCCCCACTTGTGCCTCCTTGACAGGGGCTGGACTTGATGATCCATAGGGTCTCTTCCAGCTATGCAGTTCTAAGAGTCTATTCTATTCCATTCTACATAGGTTTTCATTGTGTCATGTCAAGGCTGACAAAAGCTTCTGTTAGGATTCGGAGTAAAGTACAGAAAGATCTCTTGTATGGAGAATTAGTGCAGGGAAATCGCCCCAGAGGGAGACCACAGCTGCGATATAAGGATATCTGCAAGCGGGATTTGAAGGCCTTAGGAATGGACCTCAACAGATGGGAAACACTGACATCCGAGCGTTCAGCCTGGAGGCAGGTGGTGTGTCTTGGCCTCTCCCAATTTGAAGAGACCCTTGTTGAGCAGGCCGAGGGAAAGAGGCAGTCCCGGAAGCAGCAAAATTAGGGAGCTGGACTGGGGACAGACTGTATTTGTCTTCAGTGTGGAAGTTATGGCCTCGAATTGGCCTTCTCGGCCACACTAGACACTGTTCCAAGTCCTCCATGCAGAGCACGTTACCATAGTCTCTCGAGACTGAAGTACGCCTAACAACAGAAATGAAGGAAAGGAGGAAACTTTATTTGAGAGACAGTAGAAACCATGAAAATAATGCAACAAAGTACTGTACATAAAAATCTTATGCCACGTCTGTTTGCTGGAAGCTCCTGGAAAGCAGAGAACAGAAGGTCCCAGGAATCAGTAAGTGTGTAGCACCTTCCTAGGATCTAGGCCTATGCTGAGGCTCTTCAAATAGAGATGTCTGGGCTTTATATACAGTACCTGAGCACAGCAATTAATTGGGCCTGTCTGTTAATCATTATCTATGCCATCTTTCCATATGTTTAAATCTCACTAAGTTGCAAAATGAGAACAAAACCAAGCATCTAAATATAAACATATTCCAGAGCTCTCTGTCTGGGACACTTATCTCTAGGTGGTTAACTTTGAGCCTTTGCCTAGTCTAGTCTTCTGTCTATACGTAGGTCTTCTGTAATGATGCTACACTCTGGAATCAGTTATGGTGCTTTATTCCTTCCATTAACTATTGCTCCTCCCTGAGTCTGAGGAACTCTGGGATGGAGAGATCCTGAGAGAGGCTTCGCATGATTTTGTTTTGTTTTGTTTGCTGAAACGCATAATGTAAGCACTGCAGAATGAATATATATCATGCTACCTTCCTCTACCCCCATTTAGGTTTGTGTGCTTCGGATAGAGCAGGTTTTCACACCTAACCAGCCAGAAATCTTTAGTAATTACTGCCAAACATTGCAAATGCCTAGCTATGCAAAAAAAACCAAAAGCTAATGATCAAAATTATATAAATATTTAATGCAGTTGAACACGTGCATGTTTAGTAGGAAGTTACTTACTCCCTCTGTAGGTAGCGTAGAGACATAGGTTGTATGACTGCAGAGATGGACACATATAGCTTCCTGTTTTGCCATGTGCAGGATTAGGAGTTTAGAAGAACTAGGATTTTTAAAATGTAATCTCGGAAAGAAACTAATACCGTGTTTCCTCGAAAATAAGCCCTAGTATGATATGCAGGATTAGGAGTTTAGAAGGACTAGGATTTTTAAAATGTACTTTCGGAAAGAAAACTAATACCGTGTTTCCCCGAAAATAAACCCTAGTATGATTTTTCAAGATGATTGTAATATACGCCCTATCCCAAAAATATTGTAATATGTGCCCTATCCCAAAAATAAGCCCTAGTCAAGTGAAACCGTGCCCTCCACTGGGACTCACCGGGATCCTCCCAAACCCTCAAGAGAGGCTTAAAACTTCTTCCCCTCCTCTCCCACTTTTCCACTGGGACTCACTGGATCCTCCCAAACCCTCAAGAGAGACTTAAAACTTCTTCCCCTCCTCTCCCACTTCCCTCGCTTGCGGAGGGGCTGGGCAGCCAGGGAGGAAGGAGCTGTGCGTGGCCAGGAACTTTCTCCTTGGCTCCTAGGTTCCCAACAGGACTTGGGGCTCACGCCTCTGCAGTGTGTATGCTTTCCCCCCTCCAGTGTGCGTCCAGGCGAGGCTAGCAAAGCACAAGATTGGAGAGGACGAGACAATTTTGGAGCTCTGGCCCCCGCCAGCCACCCCACCTCCGCCCAGCCTTTATTTCCCCCCTCCCCTCTTTCTCCTGCCTTAACTCTTTTAACCCTCCACTCGTTCAGCTCCGTCTTCAGTGCTGCTGGCAGGGCCACGTGTTGAAGCTGCCACCCCCCCCTTTCCCCAGCTGGGCTCACGGGCTTCGGGACCCCTCCTCCTTCCACACCAGTGCCTCCCCCTTCACAGCTGCCCTTGTTTCCCTCAAAACAAACCCAACGCCCGCCAGCCCCAGTGGGAGCCTCAGCTCAGGCACCGCCACTGGAGGAAGACGAGCCACCTCCTGGCAGTGGCAGGGGCACCCCTCGAGGAAGTGGCACCAGCTACATTTGAAGAAGGGGAAGGGGAATGGGAATACATTAATAATAAATAAATAAAGTAAATGGTGGTAATTGAATAAATGTAGATCGTTGTTCTTGAAAAAAAAATAAAACATCCCCCGAAAATAAGCCCTAATTCATTTTTTAAAAGCACAAATTAATATAAGACCCTGTCTTATTCATGGGGAAACCCGGTATATCACTGTGTTTGAGAAGGCTACAAAAAGTAAATGGTTAGAAACAGTGGTGGTTTATGGTCTCAGTGGGAGGAGACACCATTTTGGGGCGAGATGCCCCACAAAATCAGGATCAGGGGCTGAATCTGGTTAGAAGAAGAGTTCTCGGGTAATGGCTGAGGTTTCTGCTAAATGGCATTTCATGCTCTTCCTGTTCTCCTTGCCAGGTAGCCGAGAGACTGCCTTCACGTACGCCGTCAGCGCGGCAGGGGTGGTGAATGCTATCAGCCGCGCCTGCCGCGAAGGGGAGCTCTCCACTTGCGGGTGCAGCCGGACAGCCCGACCAAAGGACTTGCCCCGAGACTGGCTATGGGGCGGATGTGGTGACAATGTGGAATATGGCTATCGATTCGCCAAGGAGTTTGTGGATGCCAGGGAGAGAGAAAGGAATTTTGCCAAGGGATCTGAGGAGCAGGCCCGCACGCTAATGAATCTGCGGAACAACGAGGCTGGTCGCAGAGTAAGAGTTGTTATCTGTTATATTTGTCTCCCGGCTTTCATTCAGTAAGTTCAAGGAAATATGCCTGGCTCCTTCTTTTCCATCTTCTGCTGTCAACAAGCCTGCGAGTTGGTCAGTTTGATAATGGCTGGTCCAAGTTCACCCAGTGAGCACTCAGACTTTCAACGTCCTAATCCAACACTCGTTGCACTGGTGTATCAGTATTTTTTTTCCTCCCATCTTGATAGTTTCACTTTCATTCTGGAAGAAGTACATTTAGGTGGCAACCAATGTTTCATGTTTTTTAATAATGGGCCCTTATTCTCTCAGACTGAATTCAGCCCTCACACGGAAAGAGATTCCTAACTCTTGATTTATGGCCTTCAAATATTTTTGCTCCAGGAAGTTTTCTGTTTTTGGGAAAGAATATTTTACCAGTATTCAGATATTTTTCTAATAATATGTTTGTTTGATTTTGTTTTTTTTTTAATTTAGAAAGGCTGCTTATCTGCTTTTAAATGTAAACTCATCTCAAAGTGGAGAAATCTTGGGTCTCATCCTCTGTCTTCCATCTCATCCAAACAAATGCATTAACTGTAATAGTGGGTGCTATATGGATTGTGGTGGCGCAAATATTATGTAAATACTGTATATGAAACTGCTGCCTATGACTAAGACAATCTATTGGCACTTCTTGGCCACTCCTGCCCACCTTAAGTGGCAGCAAATTTTGTGGCTCTTCTGGTGGAAACAGTATGGTGGGTGCACATTGGACATTTCCCCCCCAATGATGCACATGTTCCTGCATTGCTGTTTACCTCTCTGCACATGCGTGCCTGTCATGTGTCCTTCTGCTCTGGTTTCCCAGTTCTGTTGACTGGGATGCTTTCAACTAAAGATGACCTCTACGTCCTTCCACACAAACCATTTCATAGAATCGTAGAATAGTGAAGTTGGAAGGGCGATATAAGGCAATCAAGTCCAACTCCCTGCTGTATGCAGGAATACAAATTAAAGGGCATTATTCCATTAATTTGTATTCCTGGCCCTCCTCTCTATGACACCCTTTCAAGTATTTGAAAAGTGTTATCATATCACCTCTCTGTCTTCTTTTCTCAAGGCTAAACATACTCAATTCTTTCAATCTTTGTATTCTCGAAGGCTTTCACGGCTGGGATCTGATGGGTGTTGTGGGTTTTTCGGGTCCTTTGGCCGTGTTCTGAAGGTGGTTCTTCCTGACGTTTCACCAGTCTCTGTGGCCGGCATCTTCAGAGTCTTCTCGAAAAACCCACAACAACCATTTTTCAATCTTTCCTCATACAAAGAGCCTGAAAAACCCACAACAACCACAAAGGATATTTGTCAGGGGGTTATCTAAGTTTTTCTTGAGTGCCTCCAGTGTTGGAGCACTCACTACCGCTTGAGGTAATTGATTCCACTGTCGTACTGCTCTAACAGTTAGGACATTTTTCCTGATATTCAACTGAAATCTAGCTTCCTGTAACTTGAGCCCATTGTTGCATGTCCTGCACTCTGGGATGGTGGAGGACAGATCCAGCCCCTCCTCTCTATGACATCCTTTCAAGTATTTGAAAAGTGTTATATCACCCCTCCGTCTTCTTTTCTCAAGGCTAAACATACTCAATTCTTTCAATCTTTGTATTCTCGAAGGCTTTCACGGCTGGGATCTGATGGTTGTTGTGGGTTTTTCGGGTCCTTTGGCCGTGTTCTGAAGGTGGTTCTTCCTGACGTTTCACCAGTCTCTGTGGCCGGCATCTTCAGAGTCTTCTCGAAAAACCCACAACAACCATTTTTCAATCTTTCCTCATACAAAGAGCCTGAAAAACCCACAACAACCACAAAGGATATTTGTCAGGTGGTTATCTAAGCTTTTCTTGAGTCCTTCCAGTGTTGGAGCACTCACTACCGCTCAAGGAAATTGATTCCACGGTCGTACTGCTCTAACAGTTAGAACGTTTTTCCTGATATTCAACTGAAATCTAACTTCCCGTAACTTGAGCCCATTGTTGCATGTCCTGCACTCTGGGATGGTGGAGGACAGATCCAGCCCCTCCTCTCTATGACATCCTTTCAAGTATTTGAAAAGCGTTATATCACCCCTCTGTCTTCTTTTCTCAAGGCTAAACATACCCAATTCTTTCAATCTTTCCTCATACAGCTTGGTTTCCAGCCCCCTGATCATCCTTGTTGCCCTCCTTTGAACTTACATAAATCCTTGACATCACATAAAACAAAGGAAGACACCATCTGGCTTTTCACACACGGTCAAGTCATATAATCAATGCAAGGATAGAGAGTTGTGCACCTAAATGTACCAGTGGAGAGTGGGGATGCCATTGTCTCAGAGGATTGCCTACCCGGCTTCTCCTTATCGAGTTCATGCCGTCCTCCCAGAGATTCCTGCTCTGCCTACCTTTCAGGGCACGAATTAATTGGCCCCTTCTTTCCTTCAGGTTTGCGAATCAGGAATTGCTGCTTCTAAGCAACCTTGATTTTCAAGCAGCCTTTTGAGCACAGACAAAGATCATCATGCCACCTTTGCAGCCTGAGTGTGGGACTGGGAATTCTGTTGCATTCTAGTTCTCAGGAAGGAGGCCAGTTAAGGCGTGGGGAAAGTACCTAGTCTGCTTCAATTGTAGACCCGGTCCTGACCCTTCTTTGCTCCATTGCACTCTTAAATTTTTCAAGATCCCAACTTCTAACTTTATTGCCTTGATTTGTTTGTCTTTGATGGTTATCTTAGCTTGCCCTTTCCTCCCATCTGTCTCTTTCTCCACTTGTTCTCCATTTTTGCTTCTTTCCCATCGCCCTGTGCCTTATCTGTCCCTCTGGCCCTCCTTGGAGCTGTGCCATGTTGTTTACGCATTCAACATATAGCAGGCCTCCATCATCAGTCACTCCATCCAGGCCCAAGCCAGGCTGAGAGGAGGCTTGCTTAATTAACCACATAGGCATTTCCTGTTAATTCGTTTTACAGCCCTTTTTTAAAAACAAGGAAACAACTTAGAAGGAGTTTGAAATGAAGAGTTTTCAATAAACCCCACCACCAAATACTTGCAGACAGAGACCAATAGGTTTATTTTCCAGGTGCACTCCATAATTAAGAAGCATCTTTTAAAAGGGGTTTGGGGGATCTTGGCAATTATTACACAATGTTATTCATACTGTGCCATTTTTCCTTGTCATGTCAATGTAGCAGTTTGTCATGGTGATGCAGTAATTTTCTATTGCTGCATACATGTGGCAGGACCCCACAGCGTAACAGGAGTCAAATGCAGGGCAAGGAGGTCCTTAAAGTAGTCTGGTTCTGGGCAATCAAATGTTGTAAAAAGTTGGACCAGCACTTAGAATTAGGCCTGGAGATGAACACTCTCGTTATTTTACATCTTCTCCAGCGTTGGAAGCAGGTTTCATGTGGGAACGATGGCAAGTCATTGCTTCCTTGACTTCCTGCATGTACAAAGTGAAAAAGGAATACATTGAGGTTTATTGGCTCTGATCCAGCTGCTGGGCTGCACTCAAAAGAAGAATTCCAAAATAAATACACTAGAATGTTTGCTGCCTAAAGAGAAAGAACCAACACTATCTTAGTCCAAAGAAACTTATATCAGGGCATAGCTATATTTCTTTATGTGGAGCATTAATGCTTTCTTAGTTTTTAAAGCTATAATAGACTCTACTGCTTTGTGGCCTTTGGGCGGTTCCTTCTTTATGTGATTTATTTGACTCTCATGCCAGATTTGGCCCTACATCTCATTTGCATTATTCATCTATCACTACAAACTGTTTTGAAAGGCATTTCCATTATCAGAGTGGTGGACTGCAGAGAGCCTGTTGAGAAAAGCAAAGGAAAAAAAAATCCAGTTTCTTGCCCCCTCCTATCTTGTGCAGGCGGAGTTTTCCCAACTGACTTTTTTAAAAATAGTAATGCAACACATATGCACTGCCCTAAAAAGAACTTTTTGGGGAAAAATCTCTTTCTCAGACCCTTCAGAGAGCTGGCGAAGTGTTTTAATTTGCTAATATCCTGAAGTGGCTTTCTTCTTAAGCCACTTCAGGATATTGGCAAATTGATAGCAAGCCAAATAGGGTTCCTAGAGGTTCCATATGTCATTTGGATGTGAGGATGGCAACAAATGGTATACTGGAACTCCTAGCAACCCTATTTAGTCTTCTCTAGCTCATTGCAAAACGGACATGAAGAAAAGTCCATACAGTGGTGCCCCGCTTGACGATTACCTTGTTAGACGAGGAAATTGCTTTATGATCAGTATTTTGCGATTGCTATAGCAATCGCAAAATGATGTTTTAATAGGGAAAATTGCTTGACGATGATCGGTTCCCTGCTTCTGGAACTGATTTTTCGCTTAACGACAATCAAAACAGCTGATCGCTGATCGCTTCAAAATGGCCACCTGCTGTGCAAAATGGCTCCCCGCTGTGTTTTAGGACGGATTCCTCGCTATACAGGCACCAGAAACTGGCTGCCCTATGGAGGATCTTCGCTGGACGCTGAGGTATTTCGCCCATTGGAACGCACTGAAACGGTTTTCAATGCATTTCAATGGGCTTTTTACTTTCGCTTGACGACGATTTCGTTCTACAGCGATTTTGCTGGAATGGATTATCCTCATCAAGCAAGGCACCACTGTAGTTAGATTCCTGAGAAATTTAAGACACATATCACACCATAGTTAATTGGAATAGATCATAGCTTTGCCAAGGGAAAATTCTTTCAGGAAGTCTGTGGCTACAACCAAGTCAGCAACCCTTTATTCTGAGGTAGATGTAAAAAAAAAAAAACTCTAGAGCATTTACTCAAATTTCGATTGATGTTCATTTTGTTATTTAAGAACAATAATAAAGGCTCAATCCAAAACACTGATTTTATGGAAACATTCATGCATGCCAGCCATGAAGACAGTAATCATGAAGTCCATGTGCTATATTCCTTGGAGGTGCTTCAGTGATCGTATCTTCAAGGTGATACGTGTAGGATTCCTGGGGAGTTTCCAATGTAGTTACTAATCAGATTTTGTCAAACTTGGCTTCAGCAAAATTGCTATACCATGTCTTTTCAGACTGCTTTCCTGATTACACGTTAATCCTTCATACCATTTAAAAAATATAGCATTTTTATAAAGCCTGAAAGGGAAAGAAAGAGGCTTATAAAAATTTTTCTTCCTTGAATGCCTGGAGGTATTTTTGCCAGATGTGACCATTTGCCAGATGTGACCAAACAAGTAGTTATTTTCAAGCCTGGTATTTTCATTATCATTGTTATACATGAAAACATATTTATCATACAGAAAACTTACTGTCTTGACCTATGTGTGTGTGCATGTGTCATTTCACTGTTTTTCATCAGGCATTTGTATTTTTCTCTTGTGCAGAATTTTTGAGGGCCACTCCACACATTATACAGTAACAGTAAAAGGAATTCACACTGAATGTAAAGTTGACACAAAGCTACAGAAACTCTGGCTCTCTGACTAGTGAACCTGTCTGATGCAGATGCTTCCATACACAATTCTCTCATTCATGCATTATATTATAAAAATGCATTAAAACGTTTACAACATTGTAATGTATAAAGAAGACACAACAGTGGTAATAAATATCCTGTTTGTTCAGCTCATTTTGCAAATGAAATCCATTTTTGTAATAGGAAGCTTTGGTTGGGAGCATATAGATCCGAATATAAATTCCAGTTAATATGTTTGGGCTGCATCTGACTCTTCTGCCTAGCGCAGTTCATGTGACATTCTTTAGCCACTTTTATAAAAAACATGGATTACTATGCATTCCCATTTTTTTAAGGATAGGAGAAGCTGCGATGAGGAAATGGATGTAAACAAATAATTCACCACCAGGTGGCAAAAAATTGGAAAGAGTTGTTGCATCCACATTCTTGTTGAGTGTACCTGTACATTTGTACCCTAAGAACTAAATTAAATGTGAAGTTGGCATGATTTAAATTGAAGGTGAGGATGGATGGTGCCTTTAATACCCTGGATCATGTAGGAGGGTCACACTGTTTTCTTCTTCTTCTTCTTCTTCTTCTTCTTCTTCTTCTTCTTCTTCTTCTTCTGTATGATTGAACTTGAGTTCTGCCAGCTTTCTTTTAAAATGTGGGTGGGAGGTTGAATTTAAAGTGCAGGAGGATACGGAGTATTCCTTTGCCCATACTCTCCCACTGTCTCTCCCAAGAAATTGGGTAGATGGTTTTTCATCTACAGACCTGGGAGAGCCACTTGGAGAATATATGTTACAAAACAGATATATAACCATAGCGAGGGAGGGAAATGAATGAATGAATGAATGAATGAATGAATGAATGAATGAATGAATGAATGAATGAATGAATGAATGAGTGAGTGAGTGAGTGAGTGAATGAATGAATGAATGAATGAATGAATGAATGAAGAGATAGATAGATAGATAGATAGATAGATAGATAGATAGATAGATAGATAGATAGATAGATAGATAGATAGATAGATAGATAGATAGATAGATAGATAGATAGATAGATAGATAGATAGGTCTGTGAAGAAGAAGTAAAACCATGTATATTGAACTTCTGGAGGAAGGCCGGGTTATGATATAGATATAATCGTAGTTTTCAAAAATTCTATGGAAGATACGTAAGACAGAGTCATCTGCTCATGTATTCTCTGAACACAGCAGGAGCTACTTCCGAGTAAACATGCATAATAATGCACTGTTTTCTGATTGTCTTATGGCTGTGCTAAGGAAACACTTATCTTATCCTACCTTCTTTTCTGCTCTGTAGGCAGTATACAAGTTGGCTGATGTTGCCTGTAAGTGCCACGGCGTCTCAGGTTCCTGCAGCCTCAAGACTTGTTGGCTGCAGCTGGCAGACTTTCGCAAAGTGGGCGACTTTCTGAAAGAAAAGTATGACAGCGCTGCTGCCATGAGAATCAGCCGCAAGGGCAAGCTGGATCTGGTAAACAACCGCTTCAATCCACCGACTCCAGAGGACCTGGTCTATATCGATGCCAGCCCTGACTATTGCCTCCGCAACGAGACCACAGGTTCTCTGGGCACTCAGGGACGTCTCTGTAATAAGACATCAGAGGGCATGGATGGCTGTGCGCTGATGTGCTGCGGCCGGGGCTACGACCAGTTCAAGAGTGTGCAAGTGGAACGTTGCCACTGCAAGTTCCACTGGTGCTGTTACGTCAAGTGTAAAAAGTGCACAGAGATTGTTGACCAGTATGTCTGTAAATGAAAGGCCCACAAGAGCTAGAAATTTATATTATTATAAATCTATATAAATATATTTTATATATTTGTATAAATAAATGGTGATGCTCATGGTGATAATAATAATTAAAGAAGCTTATTTAAGAGACTTAGGGGAAGGGATTTCTAAAGTGTTTCCATTAGAACCGCTGACTGGGTTGGACTGGATTATTTAATGGAAGAGCAAAACAAGAAAAGGAAAAAGTCAGGGATTTGGGTGCTGGTTCTTGCCTACCCTTGACATACTGCAGCCAAGAGAAAAGGGAAATTTGAGGCTCATTCGTGAGCTCCTTGCCTCTACAGCAAAACCAGGAAGACAGAATGTGTTGCCTCTGCCTAACTCGCTTTGGGTGTCACGTGCTTTTGGGGCAAAGCCAAAGGAAGTGCCTTAGATGCTCAGGCCATTTCTGCTTCTTATCAGTACACACTCTGATATAGCAAACTACAAGGCAAACAACTTGCGTTTAATGTTGAAGAATGATTTCGAAGACAGAGTCTGTGCACATGGTCGTGCAGCTGATGTGTGGATTGAAAAGAGACTGTTGCACAATGACGGATGATCCCCTTGCCGCCAGTGGGCAAAGAAAAATATTACCTTTGACCTAGACATGCTGCTTTACCCTTCTGTCCTGACACAAGCCCCAGCATCTGGTTCTTCTGTATTTTGTGGAATGCAGGGGAAAGGGAATCTACTAAATCTCTGAAAAGGCAAAGCTGTCTGAGTGGAATTATTTTATTCTGTCAGTTAGTCTGTTTTCTCTTTGTGGAAAAAGAACGGGCTACCTGTCTCTCAGGCCTGCATAGATGGTTTTGCAAAACCAACCATATTCTATATAAGTGTCAGATGTGAGAGAAAAACAGGCATGTATAGGACTTAAGAAACATTGCACCTCAATTTCTATGTGGACGTGGACTTAACATTGACAAACCTTTTCTCACCTTCCTTGCCACTATCCTAGATGTACAGTTTCTTTTTACCATTAAATATCCCTTGTTTTCATCCTCTCCCTTGTTTTTGTGAGCCCGTTTGTTTTGTGTTGCTACTAATGTATTTAACAGCACAGGAACCTTCTGCCAAGTTGGATTCCTTCCTGATTTAAAACTTACTGCAGTCAGACCCAGTTCTCATGTTACTTTTCAACCTGGTGAAATCACCAACAAGCAATTCGAAAAACAACACTGGCAATGTTACTTAAAGACTGGCTTGGTTTGCATTTCTCCCTGCTGATTTTCATCATCCTGAAGGAAATTAACGATGGTGGGCAAACATGACAGTGAAATACTTATCAGACAAAATGAATGTATTAAAGTTGTCTTGTGAGATGGACTTTAGTGATATTGAGGGAGTTGTTTCCACACAAGACAGTGACCAAATCTTTGAAAATGAACAAAAGGTGAAATGTATACCAGTAGTGGGATGATGAAGTGGGTCACTGGTTGGAAGTGCTGATAACCACTGCAGGGTGATGGGGATGGAGAGGAGTTGGCAAATTTACATCCTTGCCATAATACATAATTTAGAGATGATGGAGGCAAAGGTGCCTTGGTCAGTATTCTGTTTGATGTTGCTGCGTGGCTAACTGCCACCTGAAGTGAATATTTATAATGATAATTGTAACCACCTTCTTTGCACCAAATATAATGGGCAGAATCCTGTTTGTTCCTTCCATTCAAGCAGTGGTCCACTTTGTATTTAGTTGGACAGTTTCCAATCTTGCAGAAGGGGATATCCAGTCCCACATCCTTGTGTAAGCTCAGAATCTGTCCAGTTGCTCAAGCAAGAAACTATTGCACAAGTGGAAAGAATGAACAGGATTCTTCCTGGCATCCATTTGGGTTAGAACAAGTTTATCTATTCTAAACCTTTCTCAGTCTTCTGTCTTGTCCCTAGTAGAGAGAAAGACATAAACCATATGATACAATTGAACTCTGTAAATTGGAGGCAGAGCTTGGGCACCAGACGGAGTGATCCAAGGGCAAGCCAAGGGTTGAAGAGAAAAATCAGTTGGGTGCTCAGCTTAAAAAAAAAAGCCACCCCAGGCCTCCATCAGCTTCCCAAAGGGTAGAATTATTTTACATTATCCCTGGACTGGTCTAAATTGTTCCCCTCCCAATGCAAACAAGCTCTGATCTTAAAGACTCAATGCAAGCAGTTGTAATGGCAAGACGGAGGAATCCCGAGACGAAAATGCCTTGGCCTCCTCAGTCCGGAGTACTTTGCAAGTAATGTTAGGGTAAAAGGTTAACAAAAAAAGAGACAGCAGCAAATGCCTCTCCTCTCTTACTGCTGGCAAGAGCCCAGTAGGACTTGGGAAATGTTGAAATACTCTAACCTCTGACCAAGCATCATAACTCAATACTTATTATACTTTTTATACAAGTCGTATTGAATTCCAGGAATTAATGGCTATTATACGTGCATGTACAGGTCATAAGGTAAGAGAAGAATCAAATGATTTCCTCAATAGGAAATCATGTGAGAAAGTACATTTGGTCCATGAAAGCTTACATTTAAAAATAGCAATTAGTCTTACGTTTTTGTCTCTTTATATTCTGTTTTGGTGCTTTGTGGGTTTTTTTCTTGCCTGACATGCTTGCACGGACTAACTTGGCCACTCTTGAAAACTACAACTCGGAATAATTGTCACTGTTTCAAAAAGATACATTAGGAATTACGGTGGGGGGGGATATAGAATATCACCTATTTCTCCTTTCTGGTCCACAAATTGGCTAGAAACTTTCTGAAATGGAGGGTCATTCCATTAAGAGAGCCCCTATCTGACATCCACTTGACAAACCTCAACTTGATAACTGCTACAGAAAAGTAGTATTTCATAAGTAAGGTGATTTTGGCATATAATTTGTCAAATATAGACACATTTGAAGATGTCTTAGACAAGACACTTAAAATTAAGTTTAGGTTTTGGCCCCACATCCATGGGATGAAAAAGTTATGTGCATTTGTCACACATACATGTATAATTCATACAAGGAGATATGTTATGCTACCTTCCAAAGAGTTCATATTTCAGTGGTAGGTAACCTGCTTTACATGTCAAAACATCAGGTTCAATCTCTGGCATATCCAGTTAAAAAGGAAATCTGCTGTTGTGGAAATTCATTGTCTGAGACCCTGGAAAACTGCTAATATTTAGAGTGGATAATATTGGGCTAAGTTATCACTCCACTGGTGTAAAGCAACTTCATACGTCCCATGTAGGAAATTTTAGCTAGGATCTTACGGGGTTGTTTTGTAAACAGAAGATTGTGCCTTCAGATTCCAAGAAAATGGGTTTGTGAGATACATAGTCCAAAAAAAAATATATAGTTTCTCCAAGATTAGGGAGCATGAGAAGAAAGCTATGTCAAATTAGTGGTTGTTTCCTAGTGTAATGTTAGCTTCAGGCTTTTATTAAGGATGAAGTTTTCCTTTGCTTGGCCTCAGGCTCAACTGGAGTTTTTTTTTTGTCAATTAATCACTAATGATTAAATACATGTACTAGTAATGCTGTGTCCACATAACTCATAAATGGTTACTGATTTTTTACTTTTCATGCTAGTGGATTGTAGATGGAAAAGTACCTACAAAGACTATTTGTATTGAGCCAAAGACTGAAAGCTCTTGTTGACAGAATTTTTGTTCTTTGAAACACTTGGCCTTTTAAAAACACTAACAACCCCCATATGACTAAAACAAAGTGCCAATGTATAGAAATAAGCAACAGCACAGTAAAATGCAATGCTGGTTTTTTACAAGTGCTATTTGTATCCACACAGTTTTAGTACATTTTTGCAATTACTGCAACTAAAGATGTCAGTATATAGTATGTATCTCTTAGGTAACGGATCTGAAGTTTTCGGAATAAAGTAAGAGGAAGAACACATTAAAAAGTATATGCGTGCATGTGTTTTATATGTATGTATGCATGTATGTTTGTGTGTCTATCTATCGATCGATCGATCGATCTATCTATCTATATCTATATCTATATCTATATCATAGGCATCCCTCAGTCTAGAGAAACTATGATAACATGCTCTGAATCGAGGAGTGTCCTCTCCAGAGCATGAAGCCCGGGTAAAGTAATATGGAGGATAAGCTGTTACCCAAGCAGCAGATCCCCCCTCTCCACATTGCTGAAATGGTCCAATGGAAAGGCAAGAGCCAATGCGACTGGTTCCAGCAACGTCGCAGGAGTTGGCAGAATGACACGAGCTGCCTTCGGGACTCCAGCTCCGGATTTTGCCTCTAGGTTAACTCCTGAAGCCTTTTCCATGAGTGGATATAACCACAAGGCAGTGGAGGTTTGAAATCGGAGTTTCCCTTCTCCTAGATGGGCTGCCTTCCATGGCTGACGAGCCCCACCTACCCGGCCTACTCTTTAATAGTGTGAAAGTATGATCTGACCCTTAAAACTTTCCTGCCTCCCAGGCTTATGCAAATCTAATTGGCTTTCCTATTTACCATACAGTATTAAGGCCAGAGAAAGAGGTCCTGGGACACACTCTCTCTATATGTATATGAGAGAGAGAGAGAGAGAGAGAGAGAAGATTTTCAATAATTATTAATCCATACATTTTTGGCATCCCAGAGAGAAACCTATTGGAAAACACCAACTAAAGCAGATTTATATTCTTTTTATATAGAATCCAACACCAGCAGTACAGTAATTCAAAGCAAAGAAAACTGTTTTCCATCCATGGAAAAAGTGAAGGATAATGGCTTGATCCAGCTTTCTTAAAAATACACTGGGAACTGGAATGATCACCAAATCCCATGAAGTTTAGATGTTACACATGCTTGGAATACAATACACTTTCCTTTTTTTTGAAAAAAAATCACTTTTTGACTCCAATAACTTACCCGTTAAATGATATTTTGTCTACTTCAGGTCTATGCTCTTTCTGGATTTTTAATTATAAATTTGCCTTAGACAGAGAGTTAAACATTGGTTTCTGAGTGAGGAATAAAGAAAATATTTGGAAATGATTTGGATATAATCTGGAAGATACTTATACTTGGGAGGGAAGGGATCTTCTTATTTCAGCTAGTAAGAAAGAAGATGGAACTTTGATAAAATTATTTATTGTGGTTCTTAATAAAAAGCATAGAAAGTGTTCTATGAAGATGACTATTTTATCTTCTGAAAATAGTGGGTTTTAAATATATATGTGTGTGTGTGTATCCTAACTGTGTGTCTTTTCATATAATGACAACAACAATAATGACCCGCATTTTTGCCTCACAACAATCTTGTGAGGCAGGTGGGCTAGAGTGACTATGAATTATACAAACCCAATCCATGAATTTAAAAAAAGAGCAGGCATATGAACGCAGAATTTCAGATCCAGTGTCACAATCTAAAGCAGAGTCGGGCAACTGCAGCAGAACTGGGGCCAGTTTCCCTCCCCAACCCACCACTATAGAATCTCACAACAGAAATGGAAAACCATCCTTCCATGTCTATCTTGCAGAGTCTTACTTGTTGCCCTTTCATTTCATTCCAAATCTACTGTCTCGAAGCGGCTAGCTGCCTTACTCAACCTAACGGCAGTGTCACCCGTTAACTCATGTTCTTTTAATAGTACATTATGTTCTCTTAAAGCCAATAGTTCATCAGACTATACAACATGCCATGCTGGCGTAATCAGCACATTGTCCTGGCATAATCTGTATTCACTAGGTCTTGGAATAAATAAAAATGGAGCAAAGGTTAAAAAAATAGGGAGAGTGGGCAGAGATTATCAGATGAAGCAAAAAAGTACAGTACTTGGACACTGAAGGTTTAAATAGGTGGTGAAGCACAAAGACTTTGTAGAACAGAGAAAAGTTTGTAGATGAAAAATTTTGTGGAAGGGTTTAAAAGGGAGGAAGATGAGGCTGTTTGGATATGGTCATAGGAATAAAATAGATTATGGTACAAAAATGTGTAAAGTCATGCTTCTCTTAAAGAAATTAGCCTTTGTAACTGTACATATTTGATTTTCATACATATTATCATTAGAAATATTAATTATTCCTTTCATGTTAATTCTTCATTTTACATAGTGCCACTAGCAGTGGCTCATGAGGGCTGTCCATGCTTCCTACCACATGGAAACTAATGCTAAAGAGTATTTTTTTAATCCCTTTTTGTTATGGCTATTATTTTAGTGATGCTGCATTGCTGCTTCTCAGTCCTGACACAAAGTCTGAAGTCTCTTTTAGCATTTTTTACTTAAATGAAAAATTTACAGTGGTACCTGTGAGTGCAGCTGTTGCTTTTCTGTCCTGCTTGAGTGAGACTACCTTTTGGGGGAACAAGTCTGCACCTGGACTGTGTTTCCTAGGGGGAAGGTTTTTGAGTAGCACACTAACTGGTCAAGTGGGCAAATTGGGAGAACTTTATGTTATGTAGAAATTGTATCTTTAAGTGAGAGGCTTAAATGGCAACTCCCTGCTTTCTGAGTGGACGTAGTTTCTTTGCAATCAAATGGTTTGGGAGAAGTTGGTGAATATATGCTGGTTTTGACTGTTTGCTCTACCATCTTTAAGAGAAGATATTTCAATTTAAGTTATTTTGTAAGCACAGACTTTGGTTTCCCAGAGCTGATTTTGGTGTGATCCTGTTTTAGAAATCAGAATAATCCCCAAAAGAGAAGGAAATAAAAACTTTGCTTTACAGCAAATTAAAATATGGTTAAATTTTATCTTAAAATGTCTGGAAGTTCAGACCACAGATCAATCCCCTCCTTATCCAAAATACTGTTCTACCAATCTTCTTGCCTCTTAACGTCCATCCCAAAAGCATCACAATCCTAGTAACCATTCCACTCCCTGTATTCACACCATCAATAGTGGTGTGAAAGAGCTAAAATGAAAGAAGCTTTGGAAATCTTTGGAAATGCTGTCCTCTGAAGATGCCAGCCACAGAGACTGGCGAAACGTTAGGAAAAACCACCTTCAGAACATGGCCAAGAAGCCCGAAAAACCCACAACAACCAAGCTTTGGAAATAATTGCCATTTACAGATTGCAGATTTGCTGTGCAATCCTAAGGGACCTTTACTACTCCACTCCAACTGATCTGTAATTAGGGGAAGAAAGTCTGGTGTTTAATGGGATAAGACCCAGGTAAGGAGAGCGTTTTGATTTTTTGTGTGTGTTTTTTTTGTGTTTTTTTTTTCAGGTAAGGAGAGCGTTTTGATTTTTTTTTGCTCTTTGGAGAATCAAATAACATCACTTACTTGAGGTGGAAGTTAACGTACAAGGCTGCATGAATATACCCATGTTTAGAGTGAAAGAGAGAGTTGATCTCTCCACGAATGTCCTTATTTTGGAAGTCTAGCTTGAACTATATTTCCTTTAAACCAAAGTGCCTTTTCCCCCCTTTGGGGAATTTGTTACTATATAGTGAACCCACCACCTCCTGGCAAATAGAAGGGAAAGATATGGAAGGTAGTGACAGATTTTACTCTCTTGGGCTCCATGATCACAGCAGTTGGTGTCAGCAGCCATGAAATTAAAAGACACCTGCTTCTTGGGGAGAAAGCGATGACAAAACTCGACAGCATCTTAAAAAGCAGAGTCATCACCTTGCCAATAAAAGTCCGCATAGTCAAAGCTATGGTTTTCTTGTCATGATGTATGGAAGTGAGAGCTGGACCATAAAGAAAGCTGACCGCGGAAGAATTGATGCTTTTGAATTGTGGTGTTGGAGGAGGCTCTTGAGAGTCCCCTGGACTGCAAGGAGAATAAACCTATCCATTCTCAAGGAAATCAAGCCTGAGTGCTCACTGGAAGGACAGATCCTGAAGCTGAGGCTCCAATACTTTGGCCATCTCATGAGAAGACCCTGATGTTGGGAAAGTGTGAGGGCAAGAGGAGAAGGGGGTGATAGAGGATGAGATGGTTGGACAGTGTCAGTGAAGCAACCAACATGAATTTGACCCAACTCCAGGAAGCAGTGGAAGACAGGAGGGCCTGGCGTGCTCTGATCCATGGGGTCACGAAGAGTCAGACATGACTAAACAACAAAGTGAACAGAAAAGGTGTACTAGACTAGAGAAGGCCACCTAGCTAAATTAAAGAGGTAATTTCCAAAATGGGTATGAGAGCACTACAGTTGTGTTTTTTACATTCTGAAGTACCGTGTATCACAGAAGTGAGCATTCCCCCTCATATTTCATAAGTATTTTAGCATATATTTTCATGTGACAACACTGAAGAATTGACACTTGGCTACAATGTAAAGCAGCGAGTATACAGCTTCTATAACAATATAAATGTGCTGTCCCCTCAAAATAATGCAATACACAGCCATTAATGTCTAAACCGCTGTACAAGCTGTATACTCACTGCTTTACATTGTAGCCAAGTGTAATTTCTTCAGTGTTGTCACATGAAAAGATATACTAAAATATTTATGAAATGTGAAGGGGCGTACTCACTTCTGTACATCTAGTTAGGTTCAACTGCACCTGCTTGTGAATTAGGTCTTGCGTTTTCATATTTTATGTTGCCACTGATCTGTGATGCAGTCTCTGCAGAGGGTATTAACTTTTTTTGTGCATATAACATTCCATATTATACTTTACAAATAAGGATATTTGCTTTTATCGCTGAAGTGGTCCATTCCACATTCTCCACTGTTATGGCAGTGGCCAGAATTCTGTTTGGATTTTACTCTGAAGTGAAATCTCCTAAGCCGCAAAGGTGTCTATTCATCATATGACAGGCATGCAATCAGGTATGCAAAGGTTAATTAGCTGCATATGCTGTGGAGACTTGCATGATTTCACTAACTCCATAGAAAAATACCAATAGGATTCTGGCCAGTATATTCTAATCCCAAAGCCATGATGCTAAACTAATTTAGCAAGGAGTAATAGCCATGGAATGCAGTGATCCATTCCTTAGATCTGAATGAGCAATAGTGTACATGTTAAACCACAAGTGACTCCAGAAATAACCTTTCTTCTTCCTATTCCAAATATCATCCCCATTACACTTTGTTGTAAAGTGTGTATTTTCTTGAATGTCCTAATGGTATGCAGGGCGTGAGTTAACTGTGTTCAGGGCTGCTTGAGGATATTGTCCAAAACAGCTGCTCATGTTTGTACCATCCATGAAATTAGCTTTCTCATCCCCTTGGAATGTCCCAGATGACAAAGCACAGCCTTGGAATACATGATGCTTCATTGGCACTTCTAAAAGCTATCGTTGCCCAAGTGATAACTTGGGTTATTTGAATCAGTCCTGACTGCATTTTAGTCTGGATTTATTGTTTGTTCTGAGAATTACATAGCATTCAGAAGCCTGCTGTTGTTGCTAGAAGAGGAAAGTCTTCAGCAAATGTAAGACTTATTTGCAGAACTGCTACAAACAATGCTAGTTTCACAGGATACGAAAGACTTATATAAAGGCATATATTTTAAAGCAACACTATTAAAGCTGGTGAATAACTGTTGCTGTCACTACGTGGCTAAATGAACAGCACCATCACACTTGTCAAGCTATTACTTTATATTTTATTAGATGTTTTGTTTTTAAAAGCAAATGTATCAAATATTTATATTTATTAAAAGCAAAAAAAACCCTCATCATTTGTAATTTTTTGGGAATGTTAATGTTGTTGCTAAAAAGCTTTGCACATATTCATGATAAAGTTTTCCCAAGTGCTGAAGAAAAAGTAAGAAAACAAGGAATTTACTGGAATTTCTCACTTGGGATGCAACAGATAAATCACAGAGCTGGTTTGTTGCCTGGTGATCAGCCGTTTACTGTTGTTGAGTACAGAAATCCCTTTTTCAGAAGACAAATGAATCAAATACTTTGCTTCAAACAGGGCCACTTAAACCCAATTGAAATAGTGTGAGGGTTCAGCCTTCTTCTTGGGAGGAAAGCGATGACAAATCTTGACAGCATCTCGAAAAGCAGAGACATCACCTTGCCAACAAAAGTCCGAATAGTCAAAGCTACGGTTTTTCCTGTTGTGATGTATGGAAGTGAGAGCTGGACCATAAAGAAAGCAGACCGCCGAAGAATTGATGCCTTTGAATTGTGGTGCTGGAGGAGGCTCTTGAGAATCCCCTGGACTGCAAGGAGAACAAACCTATCAGTTCTAAAGGAAATCAACCCTGAGTGCTCACTGGAAGGACAGATCCTGAAGCTGAGGCTCCAATACTTTGGCCATCTCATGAGAAGAAAACAGTCCTTGGAAAAAACCTTGATGTTAGGAAGGTGTGATGGCAAGAGGAGAAGGGGACGACCGAGGATGAGATGGCTGGACAGTGTCTGCGAAGCAACCAACATGAACCTGACACAACTCCGGGAGGCAGTGGAAGACAGGAGGGCCTGGTGTGCTCTGGTCCATGGGGTCACGAAGAGTCGGACACGACTAAACGACTAAACACACACATCAGCATTAGGCTCTGCAGTAACTCCAAATCAATCAGCGGACTTCCTCGGTTTTGAAATGGGGGTAACGTTTATTGGATTATTTAACAATAGTCCTGTATCAACAAACATGTTCCAACTCTTCTCCTGGTCAGACAACAGGTCTGTCAGGGGCTTCCATTCTTCAAGCTTGAAGGGGTTTCCTTCGTGAACGTTCCATGGTCCCGGCCATTCCGGAGGGGTATCAGGGTTCAGTAATATTTCTTTCTCCCCTTCCTGTAAGGGGATGACGTCCTCATCTGGAAAGTCCACCCAGTCACCGTCCTGGGAGGGATCCCCCATCTGCCAGGGTCTTCCCCGGGTTCCATCCTCTACATTTCCTGCATCCTCCATCCTATCCTCTCTCTCTCCACTTTCTCCTTTTCCTCCCTCAGTTCTCCTGTCTCTCTCTCTCTCCCCAATAAGAGGGTCTTCTCCTTCGTGCGTCGGCTTCCTCCCTGGGGACTCTCAGCTTCTCCACTTTCCCAGTCCACGGGTCTTCAACTCATATCCACTCCCAGTCTGGTGGGAGTCCCTCTCTTCCCCCTTCCCGCCACACCAGTCCCGGGTTGTTCCACCGTTAACTCCTTCAAATTCTCCTCTATCCTCCCAGGTTCTGGCTCAGGTTGTTTCATCTTCCTAGGCAGGGGAACAGGTGGGGGTCTGACTCTCCTTATCGACCGAAGGAGGGAGGGATGGCACTCCTGTGAGAGGAACCTTGCCTTCACCTCCAGCCTTATAAAGAGTAATAGCATTCCATGACTATTCGTATATCCGGGATGGTGAATCACGTTTCCACATCGTTTTTGGTCTGGCAGCACAATCCTAGAGAGATTGACTCAAGAGTAAGCTCCATTCGCCAAGCACGTCTTTTGCCTAGGAGAACAATATCCCGGCATTATCTTATGCATGCCTACTAGAAGGCATGCCTCACGGAATTAAAAATCTCGCACGCAACCCCCCCCACACACACACCCTCCGTGACTGGACAGAATTGTCACTTTCAATCAAGCGCATGCGCCTCGCATTTGAAAATATTCAAACCGGTCAAGCCTCCGTCCAAAATCACCCCACCCCCCACCACCTGTGGAACAGTTCCATTAACCGCCGCTCCACACCCTCATTCCAGGGATTGGTTCTATTTAACCGCCACTCTTTCCGCAGGCAGCGTTGCACTTCACGCATTTTGCGCAGCAACCGCCACCCAGCAACTGACGCTTGGATACCGGGGTCAAAGACCTGCGTCCCACTTTTCTACCAACGAGGCAGCGGCCTGCGTGACGAGATCACGTACCCCGGGAGGGGAGAAAAAAAATACACTACATCTCCCAGCGTCCAATCGGCAGAGCAACCTTTCGCCCGCCTCCCTTCACGCCCGTCTTCCCTGCGTGGGAGACACGCATGCGTCTCCTCCAACCGCAGCTGCCCGCTATTGGCTGGGGCGGCCTCTTGCGATGATGACGCTTTGGGGCAAAGGGGAGGCGACGAGGGAACGGGAAGAGCGGGAGCGGAGGCGGCCGGCGAAGAAGGTGGAGGGGGCGGGATTCCCGGAGGCGCCGGCGGCACCGTGGGGACTCCCTCCCTCCCACCTAGCCACCCCCTCAGCATTGGGCGCAGCTGGGCCCCGGAGTGCGGAAGCGTCTGGTAAGGGAGAGACCCGGGAGGCTCCTGAGGGCCAGGCGCTTGGGCCCTGGGCCGGCTGCCCTAGCGGGTGACGGAGGTCTGTGTGACCGGGCAGGGGGGCTTCTTCTTGGTCCAGGCCTCAGGTTGTGACAGGGGTTTGTGTGTGTGCGCGCGCGCGAGCGCGCCTCCTCATAGGTTAACTTCGACGCTCTCTGTTCCAGTCCCTTCTCTTGGGCTGTTGCTTCTGACCTTGGGCGAGTCACTTAACGATCTTTGGCTTTTAACTTAAAACGTGCGCTCGGGTACCGCTCAGAGAGTCTTTAAGCAGAACGGCCCCGATCGTTGCTTCCGGTGCACCTGTATCACTTTGGCTCTCCCAAGTATTCCAAATTACCGGGTTATAAACGGATGGGGAAAAAGTGGCAGGTGTTCTGCTGTAGAGCTTTTCGAATGGCTGCCCTCGCATTTACAAAACGCGAACGAGGCTTGTAGCAGTTTTTCAGCAGCTTTCCATTTATTAGGAGTTGCGCTCTTGTAGATTCAATTCTGTTGGCGGTTAAAACCGAACAAACTTTAAATAACTGCCTCCCGAAGAAGTGCTTATTGCACTCAACTAAGCTATCACCTTTGGACTCCATGGTTTACTTTGGAATAGACATACTGTACAGTGTACAGTAATAAGTTGTGCATACTCGTAATACTTGAGGTGAAAAGACAACTAGTCACATGTTTGTAAAATATGGTGCTGCTGTTAACTGACGGGCTTTTTGAGGAAGTTGGTTATCAACTGCAATTGTATGTGCACTTATTTTGATATAAGAGCCATTAAATTCAGGAGGACTTTGAGGGGTTGATTTGTAAACATCACAATTTCCTCAGAGTTTTTGAGTTAAGAAAAAAAACCATAACCATATAGTGTGAGTTATGTTAGTTTCTACAAGTACCATAGAGTGAAGTACAGTGTTGAATAGTCTGTCTGATACACTGACATGATTGTAAGAAAATTCTATTTACAAAGAAAAGTGTTAGCCTAACCTTCCTTCTGACATTCTAGTCAGCATTTCACTAGGTTTTTCCTTTAGTTTTTTTTATTGTTAGAATTTTATTTTGATGGAAGTTCATTGAATCAAGAAAACTCTTCTCTGCAGTACAGAATATCACAGCCTAGACATACGTTCACAAATTTAGTGGAAAGAGGTAAAAGTATGAAGTAGTTAACATTATGGAAGTACAGAATTACTGAGCAGATATGAATTCTTTGGGAGGTGTCCTGTTTGAGCAGGTGCATGTTGCTTCCAAGGTGTGCTTCGATTGCCTTATCTTCTTAGTTGCCATTTCCCCCAGATCTTATGAATAAAAAGCTTATGTCTTGGATGATGTCTTAATGTTGGAGGTGGATTAATATACACTAGGTTTCCTGTTTAGAATGTGTGTATTTTAATGATGCATCTGGCAATGAATGTTAAGGTGGAACTAACTTGGTTTCACAAAGAAAGAACCATGTCATTGCAAAATAATATTTTAAAATATATAACTAGTCTTCTGTCAAAGTAAAATATTTGAAATTTCAATATATTACTTGTAGCACAGCACTTCAGAAAATACTGTGTCACTCAGAGATTTGACAAAATGATTTTTCCAGGTCTTGAAAATTTTGGCAAGTTGTATCATTCAGTGGCTTACAACATAGATTTGGTGGTTTTGTCCACAGCATTATAAACTTCTTGATTACAGTGGTGCCTCGCTTAACAATTGCCCCGCATTACAATGAAATCGCTGTACGACGATCTTTTTGCGATCGCAAAACGATGGTCTAAATAAGGTCTTTTCACTTTGCGATGATTGGTTCCCTGCTTTGGGAACTGATTCTTCGCAAAACGATGTTTTTTTAAACAGCTGATTGGCAGTTTCAAAATGGCCACCGGGTGCTTAAAATGGCTCCCCGCTATGTTTAGGGACGGATTCCTCGCTATACAGGCAGCGAAAATAGCCGCCATATGGAGGATCTTTGCTGGACGGTGAGTTTTTACCCCATTGGAACGCATTGAACAGGTTTCAGTGCGTTTCAATGGAGTTTTTAATTTCGTTTTACGATGTTTTCGCTTAATGGCGATTTTCCTGGAACGGATTATCGTCATTAAGCGAGGCACCACTGTAGTTTGCATTTTTAGTAACCATTACTTGTATTTGTAAAGACTTCTCGTATATGAGAAGGCCAAAATGTTTTTTTCTCTAGTTTGGGAAGATTCCATCTTGCATAGTAGAATTTAAGCTTAACCTCTGAACTCTAGGTATACTAAATTGTATTGATGACAAAATGCTCCTTTTAAAATACTTGTTTCCTATTTTTTTGTACTATTTTTGCCTTGTGGGTCTATAATAGTTGTTTTGGGGCATGCTTTTTTTTTTTAGTGTTATAGATCCCAGAATTCTCCCTTTAGGTATTCTTGCTGATAGATTTACACTTATGGTTACTTAAATGTCACTTACCTGGGAGAAATAAGTAATCCAGAACTCTTCATGGCTCAATGTAGACCTGACTCCTCCTAACTTCCTGTTCAAAAAGGAAGTTCCCAGCATGTACTACTTAACCACCTCTGGTCTTAATCATATGTTTCAGATGGTTCCTGGGATGAAGATAAAAAGAACTAAGAGCCTGCTGCCTATTATTTTAACAGGTTTAACTGTATTCTTCTGCTAGCAGAAGAGGCTCCTTTGGTCTTCAGCAGCTTCATGAGTACCAAGGGCCCAATTGTTCTCCAGTTTAGCTTGCAGCTCACTGGGAGGCTTAACTTGAACCTGCTGCCTTTTGCTTTGATCTGTAAGGAAACATCTAGACATACTGATCTGACCAAAATGGTTTTTCCCCCTGTCTGTCAATAGCTGGAATCAGTTTTTAAAACGCACTTGGTGCTTGGACAACTGAATTTTTGAAGCCTGCCTAGCAGTTGAATTGTTGTTATATTGGACTTCCAGTACAGCTTCTTTTTAGAAGCTAAAGTGATGAACTGAAGCTGTCATACTTTGGGCATTTCATAAGACAAGACTCACTGGAAAAGACAGAAAAGTTTATAGTATTAGAAAAAGAAAAAGACCTAGTATGAGATGGGCTGACTTATTAAAGGAAATAATGTCTCTCTATCTGCAAAACCTGAGCAGGGCTGTTAGTAATAGGATCTTTAGTTCATTAATTCATAAGAACACTATAACCTGAAAGTAACTCAAGAGCACAAAACAGATGCAAATATATTAAACTGTTCATCCTCTGCAGTTGCATAATGTTGGGGCTGGAGGACCATTCTCTTGTCACTGCAGATTTAGTTACTCATATAACTGAAAGAGATGAAGGGTTGCCTCATATGTCTCTAGTTGCACCTTAGTTTAAATGAGAAAATTGAGTCAAATAACCCACATCCAGTTGACCTAGAGAGGAAATAACATATTGCTAAATATTCCTGTGGTTTGATTTTACAGTGTTAGTGCTATATAAAGTGTAAATTGGCACCCCTCCCTTTGCTTAGTGACCTTGTTTGCTAGTAACTTGAGTATGTGTAACCGGGGAGTGTTATTACACAATGTATAGAACAGTTTGCTGGCAGCACTGAAGCCTCAGTAGGTCAGAGCTTAGAAGGAAGGTTTGTTGAGCTTTAGTTGCATAAAATGTTGTGAAAGAGTTTAACAAGCACTTTTTAAAAATAGGTTTCTTTATCATCTTCCACCATAGTGTTGTCTGTATTTTAAGGAGGTGTTTTCCTTTCCAAGTATAATGCATACGCTGTGGATGTTAAGACCAGCAATGTTGTTGAATGAGCATCCCCATCCATATTTTTACAAGTTCATGTTAGTTCTCAGTCATGTAAAGTGGCATTCAGTAACCACACCACACCCATCTTTTTAAAATGTGCATGGCTCCAGGGCTGTTTAGTTCAGATTTTAGACTATTTGCACTATCTCCCATGTCTTTGAAGGTTCCTAGATTGTCCCGTCTGTCTAATTTTTGTTGGATTTTTTAAAGTTGAAAAATCTTGTAATCATATTTTATTTGATTACTTTCTTAGATTTTACAATCCAGGGAGCTTGGGAGCAGTAACAATTATTTTAGTAATAAGAAGCTAGTGTCTGACTCACAAGTAAGTTTAAAAGCTTCCCATTTCTAGCCACTCCTAATGTAGATAACTAGGGCTTACTTCATATCATTGTGAACAATTAATGTTTGTTACATGTTTGTTACATGAGAGTACATGGGAAGTCTGACTCTAGGAAAAGTTGTCCATAGCAATGAAACTTTACAAATCTGAACATATAAACATTGATAGTAGATATTTCATGTGCTGGGGAAGTGGAACTTAAGTGCAATATTTGTTCTTCAGCAGGCAGGTTAGTAGTACATTTTGTTTCTGGAATGCATATGGGGAAATGAATCACATTCACCAGCTTTCAGATTCTAAAATCAGTGTTGGAATATACTTGATACAAGTACAACCTGCTCTCAGTCTTGAATTTATCAGTCTAGGACCTCTTGTTCGAACTACAGCTTTGGAAGGAGGTTTGTTTATTCATTCGTTCATTCACTCAATTTATGTACTGCCTCATTAGTGATATCACTCTCTGGGTGGTTCACAGTGTATAATAAAGTCATACAATAAAAACACAATTTAATACTTTTTTAAAAAAGGTAAAATACACAACCTGCCACTAGCTAAAACTACTGTTAAAAATACACAAATTAAAACCCATTTCAGTATCAGGAAAATATTCACACTTAGAAGACAGCATTGTATAATTCAGTCTTAATTAACTTCCTAAAAACAGAATGGGATGGTCCTTGGTGAACCTCTGTAGGAAGCTTACTGTAGAGAGAAGAGTTCACGACTGAGGAAGCTTGGTTGGCTTTTTTTGACTCCTTGGGTGTTACAATTCTTAACATCAAGGACTGAGAGGAGCAGGTATGATGGGTCAACACGGGAGAGACGTTCAGCCAAAATTGAGGTCCTAAACTATTAAGGGCTTTATAGGTTATG